TATACGACCCGTCATTACGCGTTCAGCATAAGCGAGAGTTTGGTGCGAAATGCATAGCATTTGCTGTCTTTAGTATCCAAACAAAAGTTATACGAAAAAGAAATTCATAAAACACTCACAAAAATATTATTGAGAAAAAGTTTGGCTCAAAAATTCTCTCAATGCTATTGAAGGCCGTGAAAGACCTTCACTGCCTGTAAATCATATGAGAAAATAGTTTATAAAATATTTATAAAGTTTTAATAATTTGCCTCTAATTTGATGATAGCTTTCAACACATATTGTGTTTCAAATAGTCTTAGTTTGGATACAAAGCGATGGATCAGTTTTTGGTGACAATAGTGTTGTGAACGCAGAGTATATTAGTGTCGCTATTGTGTGCTTGCAGTGAATCAAGTGGTGGTGACAGCGATCAGCCATTGGCCGCCATCGGGAGACAATGTATTGGTGTTCAGTCACCACAAAGATCACCGTTTGGGTGACCATTGGGTTGGCGTTGACTCTAACCTCGATTATCTCGTATCTGTTTCTGCCATATATTGTCGAGTATAATGTCAAACAAGTAAGTTATGGCTTAGCTATCACTGACAGCTGATCCAACACAATGGTGTTGCCTATTGTCTGTCAAATAAATGTGATTATATTTGCTGTAAATTTTTTATGCATTTTTGTTTCAATTTAAATGCTATTAAANGTCAAACAAGTAAGTTATGGCTTAGCTATCACTGACAGCTGATCCAACACAATGGTGTTGCCTATTGTCTGTCAAATAAATGTGATTATATTTGCTGTAAATTTTTTATGCATTTTTGTTTCAATTTCTCGTACGAAAAGTGAAATTTACGATAATTTAATATATTAATATATATTCAACACTTTACAAAACGATTGACTTGTGTGCTATACTGTACAATAATCGGAAAGTAAGTAAGTTTATCACGGATTTTTATCACTATAAGTTACGAAACGCTTTGGAGTCCAAAGACATGATATATAAGACACATAAATATACTATTAATAAAACACTTTTAGTTGTATTTCTGTGCCATTAATCACTTGTTAAACAATTTTGTTTTACTGTGTATTCAAATGGAGAGTATTTAAATGTTTTGAAAACAAAAAAA